TACAACCCAAAACATTCTACTACTCCTGAGTATGGAGATATCACAAGTGTGAGACTTTTTCACGGTCTGGACTGATTATTATGGGATATGTATATTGTGTGAGTGTGTATATATAAGTATTGAACACGTCACTATTTTTCTCTATAAATATATTTCTAAAGGTGCTGTTGACATGAAATTTTTACCATATGCTGGTAACAACCCATGCAATCCATACATACAAAGAGAACAAACAAAAAAGTTCAGAAGTCAAGTTATGTGTAATAAAATGGAATGACACAGGGAAATAGTATTGAACACATGAAGAAAGGGAGGTGCAAGACACCAGCTGAAATCTATAAGTAATTAGAAAGCAATCCTGCCCCTTGTCAGTGCAAATTAATAAGAGCTGGTTTAGTCTAAACTGATGGCCTATAAAAAGATGTCTCATTACCAAGGTGTCACACAAGAAACCTCTCATCATGGGTAAAAAAAAAAGCTCTCAAGAACTTCTCAAACTTATTGTTGCAAAACACACTGAAGGCAGAAAGAACTTCTGAATGTTTCAGTGAGCACTGTTGGGGCCATAAACCAGAAGTGGAAAGAACATTATTTCACCATAAACCGGCCATGACCAGGTGCTCCTCGCAAGATTTCTGAGAGGAGTGAAAAGAATTATCAGAAAAGTTATCCAAGAGCCAAGGACCACTTGTGGAGAGCTTCAGAAAGACCTGGAATTAGCAGGTACAATTGTTTCAAAGCAAACAGTACTTATTGTTTTAATGCCCTCAACCGCGCCATGGCCTGTATGCACACTCACCACACAAGACTCCATTGCTGAAGAAAATGCATGTTGAAGCTCATTTGCTGCACAACATTTAGACAAGCCTGTGAAATACTGGGAAAATATAGTCTGGTCAGATGAGACCAAAATTTAACTTTGGATATCATACTACACACCATGTTTGGAGGTCAAATGGCACTTCACATCACCACAAAAAACACCATACCATCAGTGAAGTTTGGAGATGAGAACATCATGGTATGGGGTTGTTTTCAAGCATACGGCACTGGCAAACTTCATATCATTCAAAGAAGAATGAACGGAAAAATGTACCAAGACATTCTTGATAAAAATCTGCTGTCATCTACCAGGATGATGAAGATGAAATGAGGGTGGACATGTCAGCAAGACAATGATCCCAAACACAAAGCCAAGGAAACTCTCAATTGGTTTCAAAGAAAATAAAGCTGCTAGAATGGCCCAGCCAATCACCTGACTTGAATCCAATAGAAAATATATGGAAAGAACTAAAGATCAGAGTTCATAGAACTAAAGACTGTGTGGAAGAATGGGCCAAAATCACACCTGAGCAATGCATGTAACTAGTTTTTCCATACAGGAGGTGTCTTGAAGCTGTTATTACCAACAAAGGATTTTGTATGAAGTATTAAATAAACTTCAGTTAGCGTGTTAAATACTTTTTCCCTGTGTCATTCTATTTTGATACACATAACTTAATTTCTGAACTTATTTGTTTTGGTTTCTTTGTATTTATGGATTGCACCAACATGTGGTGAAAATTTCATGTCAATAGCGCCTATAGAAATATATTTACTGAGAAAAACGGTGATATGTTCAATACTTAATTTACCCGCAATATACATAGGCACATTCATGAATGTACATGCATAGACAGGTAGAGGTTCCTTTACACAATAAAAGGGAAGTCGGCATCCTCAAGATTGATAGAGTTGGCAGAGTATTCCCTTGCTAATTCTAGGAAAACTGTAATGAGAAAAATGTTAATTGGCCAATTAACATTTTTCTCATTACAGTTACAGTTTGCATAGAATTACCATAGGAATACTCTGCCAACTCTATCAGTCTTGATGACTTCCCCTTTAATGTTTCCTCTACCTGTCTATGCATGTACATTCAAGAATGTACAGTATGTATATATACACTACTGTAGAATCGTTTTAGGCAGGTGTGAAAAACATGCTGTAAATTAAGAATGCATTCAGAAATAGAAGTATTAACAGTTTATTCTTTTTTTTATCAATTAACAAAATGAAAAGTAAAAGAACAGAAGAGAAATCCAAATCAAATCAATATCCGGTGTGACCACCCTTTGCCTTAAACCTTTTAAGTACACTTGCACACAGTTTTTGAAGGAACTTTCCCTGCAGTTTTAATTTGAAAAAGTGCAGAGACATTTTTCTGTGTTTCCCACAGATACAGCAGCCCATTTAAATGAAAGTGTGGCATGCAGAAACCACTTCTATGTGAACCTAGCCTTAATAATCATGCACTTACCAGTCCAGGGATCCAGCACTGTCCTCACCTGGGCCAGTTCTTTGATGGTCTTTGTGTCCACGGTGCCACCGTCTCAGAAGTGGGAAGCTGGCTGTGATTTCCTGTTGCTTCACAGTTAGCTTCCCACTGTGCAGGGAAGAGTAGCACTGTGGGTAGGGGGGTAAACTTCCGCTTGGATAGCCTATGTGATCCGAGTGGAAGTGAAGCAAGTACCTGTAGAAATAGGTACCCACTCCAAGAAAAAGAAAAACATCCAAAAGTAGTAGAGAAGGGAGGATGAGGAGGAAAAGTCAAAAGCCGAACTTCCCTTTAATTGGTTTCCAGCTCTCAATGTTGGCGTGAGGATGCTTACAGTAATGGCAAAGGTACATGTTAGCACTTTATGATGGGCCCTAATGGTTTTTAGCAATTTAATTTTTTTTATTTTAATGTGTATATTAAATAACTGAGCTGATATATAACTTTCTTGTTTTTGACAACCATTTTCATTTTGAAAATTAACATTTAGGGCCAATTTACACTATGTGCAGTGACAGATGTTTTACAGCACAGTAAAACATCTGTCACTGCAGAATACACAGGAAACAATTGTTTCCTATGTTTCCCATTCACACTGCAATGCAGCCTTGCGCTGCGCTGCACTGCAGCATGCAGCAATAAAATGCAGACATTCTGCATTTTTTTGCAGTGCACTGGCACGAATTGCACTGCAATGTCAAGCAGCGCAGCATATCTCACCACCCAACCTTGCAGCGAATGAAGTGTACATTTTGTACACTTCAAATAAAGCTTATACAAAAAAAAAAGGGGGGAGCATTTCAATATGCTGAATCGCGCACCACACTGCCCCCTAGGGCTGTCGCAGCGGTAAAGCATGAATTTGCCTTTAATACAGGGTGCTTCCAAAACAGCTCCCTTGGGTTTTCTTATCAGACAGCTGTCTGCTCACTAGTAACCATTTCTTTCTAATCAAACATTGTAGATTCCCTTTAATTTCCCCTCTGTATCAGGTGAAATCAATTGCTTTAAACTGAATATAGTATAATACCAGAACAAATATACAGTTTTGGTGATTTTTCTATGAGTAGACAAGAGTGGGAAAATCATTAAAAAAAAAAAAAAAAAGTTAAAACGCAAAGCCATTTTGATTTTGAGTCCATGTTGTGTGTCCCACTCATTTTAAATGAGTCGACAGTGCACCTTACACCTGAAATCTGGGTAAAACAAACTTCAATAATGAATTAATCTAAATATAGGAGGAATGATGGTGTCCTTTGTATATTTTTTCCGTATCTGTGCAGTAATCCAACACAAGGCCGTGGATAAGGGGGTACCACCAGTCCTCCTGTACGGGGCCCAAGCCAGCAGGGGGGGGGTCCAGGCAGCTGCGTGAATCGGATGTATGCAGGGATGGTGATAGGAACAGGGGGGTGGCAATTACTGGAACTCATCCCCTGCATGGCTCTCACTGCAGCAGCTGAAAGCCGGCTGCTTCTCCTTTCCCTCCTGCTGGCTTCAACTACTACAGAGAGAGCTATACAGGGGGTGGGTTACAGTAATTGCCCCACCCCCGGTGCGCCCATCACCCTCCCTGTGTGCCATGTGTTTCCCCTGCTGCCCAGGCCCTTTTGTGTGCCCCCAACCCTGCAGTGCTGCTGGCTTTGCTCCTCTCCTTCCCACCTGAAGTTGCAAGCATACAATAGGATTTCAGGATGGAGAGTGGGGAAGGGTTCGGTAAATATGTTACATTTACAAGCCCCTTCCTTTCCTTAATGGACACAATGAGTAATCAGTACCGCTGACTCACTGTGTTCATTCAAACTGAAGTATAGTAACCTGTGTTTTTTTGGGGGGGAGGTGCCCTATCAGGTTGGCTGTATGGGGCTACGTGGTTTCTAACAGCAGCCCTGATCCAGCATGAAACACCGGTATATTGCCACTGTGCAGAAGTTTCCTGTAAAGACCTATCACTGCTGCTCTCTCGCCTACTGCAGGATGACTGGTCTTGTCGCTTCCTTCCTATAGTTTCACATAGACAGCCTGTAGTGGGTGGAACTGCTTGGTCCCTCTCCCTGCTCTGCTCTCTGCACAGCCTATGTTACTGCTACTTTTACAAGATTAGTATCTGGGTTTAGAAAGACATTTGGTGCATACAGAGTAGATTTATATCCTCTAAGGCTGTCAAGGATTATATTTCAATGAAACTGTGTTGTATCTTCAGACATGCTCGTTACCATAATACAACTCTTTGCATGAGCCCTTAGGATTCCTGCAGGCTTTGGAAAGGCAATTTAGTGAAGAGGTAGCACTCCAATGAAAAACTTAATTACACAGTTTGTTAACTAAGTTTTATAGGCTATTTCTTTATATTTAGCTGAAGAGAGCAGGTTTGCTGAAGTCATTCCACAAAGACATAATTGAAACAACATATTAACAATTTCTGGATAAACATCAGGATATCAAACTTGGTCAGCATTGCCTTTTTTATGTACATTGCCTGTTAAGTATAATTAATTGTATTTTATACCTTATCTATGAAAAATTATGAATTGTTTCATATTGTAACCCATGTTAATATACCTGTTCTTAGTCTCATAAATAAAAGAATTTATAAACTGATTTGTCGAAGTTTCTTTATGTATATTCAGATTTTTTTTTTTTTTGTGTGTGTTCATTAATATTATATAATTACTACTGTTGTTTACCGCTGCCTCCTATACACAGCCCTCTCCATTGCATCAGGTTTATCTGAGTACTCTAAATGAGCAGGATAGTTGGTACAGTCATAGTGGCCGCTTGTCCTGATATATTCCAAGAAGTCTGCAGAATTCGGGAAGGAAACATTGTCTGCTAATAACACCGTTCCTTTTCTGAGGACACAGCATTCCTGTACAGAATGAAGGATAAATTAATTAAAGTGGAATTAAGGGCAAAACCAAAAATGACATATATGATGCAACCTGGCATTGGCAATAACACAGCAGTTTTTCTGAGTGCCCTCTGTAACATACAGTAGTTTCACTATTTGTTGATCTGGCTAGTAAGTCTGTTAGTTTTCAACTTCCTTTAACAGACCAAGCTATCCAGCAAAAGAGGCTGGAGAGTTGAGACAAACCATTTAACACTGACGGGGCGCTTACAATGATCAGCTTATGTAAAAATGTATCCCTGAAAGGAAAAAAAAAAGCTGTTGCCATAATTGCTTAAAAAAAGTGTTTGCTGTGGTAGGCTGTTATTTGTTAGTCACTTACAGGTATACAAAATGCATGTCAGCCTGGGATCACATATATGCGGTGCGGGATACAGGTGAAACTCGAAAAATTAGAATATCGTGCAAAAGTTCATTTATTTCAGTAATGCAACTTAAAAGGTGAAACTAATATATGAGATAGACTCATTACATGCAAAGCAAGATAGTTCAAGCCGTGATTTGTCATAATTGTGATGATTATGGCTTACAGATCATGAAAACCCCAAATCCACAATCTCTGAAAATGAGAATATTACATGCAATCAATAAAACAAGGATTGTACATAGAACAATATCGGACCTCTGAAAAGTATAAGCATGCATATGTACTCAGTACTTGGTTTGGGCCCCTTTTGCAGCAATTACTGTATCAATGCGGCGTGGCATAGAAGCTATCAGCCTGTGGCACTGCTGAGGTGTTATGGAAGACCAGGATGCTTCAATAGCGGCCTTCAGCACTTCGGTCTCATGTCTCTCATCTTTCTCTTGGCAATGCCCCATAGATTTGAGGAGGTGAAGAGCATTCTAATGTCCCTAATGGTCAATGAAAAGATGACTAGCATCATAACTCCCACCCTAAATTTCTCAAGGTGTGGGTCCCATGGTGGTCTTATGCTCTGCCAAATCTGCACCCGATCAGTTTGTGTGTTCTCGGTTAATTTTACCACCCTCCAACCTGGAGGAACTCCCCTCTTCTGCCTTGCTTTCTCCCTTTGTCTACTTTTCACCCTTCTCCTCCCACCTCTTCTTCTTTTCTCCCCCTTTCTCTCTCCTCCCCCCTTCCTTTTTTTTTTAATACCTTTTTTTTGTTTTGCCTTCAATTTATATTTTCCCCATTTTCATGGTGGACCAGCGAGTCCAAACCCCAAAACCCTTTCCAGTCCCTGGATCTAAGATCTCAGGCATCCAGTGTTCACCCCCGGCCAAGCCAGAGGGTTATTGTAGTTTGACAGTTCCTATTCCTTTGAATTTTCAATGTTCTCCATACTATTCCATGATGTGTCTATTGTTCATTTCCTCTGCGTGGGAATATTGCAACTATCTTTCCTCTTTTGCATTTCAATGAAAATATTGTACCAGAAAATGCTGCTGTCCAGAGGTGGTCATGTTGTTCTTTCAAAGTAACAGTGGGACAGTAAGGGTAGCCACCCTAAGACAGGAGGTGTGTAACGGGTTGGATCACCAGGTGAAAATAAAGAAAAAAAAAAAGACTAAAAAAGAAAACAAATGCAGCCACCACATCTTAGAAATGGTAAGCTTCAATATAAAACATATTCTTAGGGTTAGATATACTTTAGTATCCACAGTGACTGTAAACATAAGATGCACAATACTTTCACTGTTTCTCCCTGGACAATAAACAGTTCCTTCGGTCCCACATCTTGTCATTTTAAGGAGAAAAGACATTTTTTGTCAGGTAAGTGTAAAGAACTTGAGAATTTAATGATACTGATAAATTATCTCTAGCACTGTTTTTCACAGGCAACATCAAACTAACAGCAAACATAAGGGTCATCTAAAGATGTAATTTATGGCCTGCTAACAAGGTGCTTCCTGGCCTGGGTCTGCATTCAAGATGGCTCACCTTCATATCCTTATATCATATTTATTTATTATTTATTAATTTCAGGTAGTTATATAGCAATGTCAATTTAGGCAGCGCTTTACATATACAGTGGGGATAGAAAGTTTGGGCACCCCAGCTAAAAATTTGTATTAATGTGCATAAAGAAGCCAAGGAAAGATGGAAAAATCTCCAAAAGGCATCAAATTACAGATTAGACATTCTTATAATATGTCAACAAAAGTTAGATTTTATTTCCATCATTTACACTTTCAAAATAACAGAAAACAAAAAAATGGCATCTGCAAAAGTTTGGGCACCCTGCAGAGTTAATATCTTGTACTGCCCCCTTTGGCAAGTATCACAGCTTGTAAACTTTTTGTAGCCAGCCAAGAGTCTTTCAATTCTTGTTTGAGGTATCTTTGCCCATTCTTCCTTACAAAAGTCTTCCAGTGCTTTGAGATTTCTGGGCTGTCTGTCACGCACTGCTCTTTTAAGGTCTATCCGTAGATTTTCAATTATGTTGAGGTCAGGAGATTGTGAAGGCCATGGCAAAACCTTCAGTTTACGCCTCTTGATGTAATCCCCCGTGGATTTCGAGGTGTGTTTAGGATCATTATCCATTTGTAGAAGCCATCCTCTCTTTACCTTCAGCTTTTTCACAGATGGCATCAAGTTACCATCCAAAATTTGCTGAAATTTTATTGAATCCATTTTTCCTTCAACTCTTGAGATGTTCCCTGTGCCACTGGCTGCAACACAACCCCAAAGCATGATTGATCCAACCCCATGCTTAACAGTTGGACAGAGGTTCTTTTCATTAAATTCTGTGCCCCTTCTTCTCCAAACGTACCTTTGCTCATTCCGGCTAAAAAGTTCAATTTTAACCTCATCGGTCCACAGAACTTGTTTCCAAAATGCATCAGGCTTGTCTATATGTTCATTTGCAAAGTTCAAACGATGATTTTTGTGGTGAGGACGTAGAAGAGGTTTTCTTCTGATGACTCTTCCATGAAGACCATATTTGTACAAGTATCTCTTTATAGTGGAATAGTGTACCACAACTCCAGTGTCTGCCAGATCTTTCTGGAGGGATCGTGCAGTCAAACGTGGGTTTTGATTGTTTTTCTCACAATCCTGCGAGCTGTTCTGTCTGATATTTTTCTTGGTCTTCCAGATCTTGCTTTAACTTCCACTGTTCCTGATGACTGCCATTTCTTAATTACATTCCGAACAGAGGATATTGACATCTGAAAACGCTTTGCTATCTTCTTATAGCCTTCTCCAGCTTTGTGAGCGTCAACTATTTTCAGTTTCAGTTTTCTAGACAACTGCTTAGAAGAACCCATGGTGCTGATTGTTGGGGCAAGGTCAGATGAGTCTGGGCATTTAAAACCTTTGAGATTGACATCACCTGGTCTTCCCAGACGATGATTGAGAACAATCCATGACACTGGCAGGTCTCAGCTTGGCAAAGGGGGCAGTGCATGCTATAAATTCTGCAGGGTGCCCAAACTTTTGCAGACGCCATTTTTTTGTTTTCTGTTATTTTGAAAGTGTAAATGATGGAAATAAAATCTATTTTTTGTTGACATATTATAAGAATGTCTAATCTGTAATTTGATGTCTTTTGGAGATTTTTCCATCTTTCCTTGGCTTCTTTATGCACATTAATACAAATTTTTAGCTGGGGTGCCCAAACTTTCGATCCCCACTGTATATATTGTACATTCACATCAGTCCCTAACCCTCAAGGGGCGTACATTCTAAGGTCCCTAACTCACATTCATATACAAGGGCCAATTTAGACAGGAGCCAATTAACCTACCAGCATGTCTTTGGAGTGTGGGAGGAAACCAGAGTACCTGGAGGAAACCCAGGTACGCACAGGGAGAACATGAAAACTCCAGGCAGGAGGTGCCGTGGCTGGGATTCGAACCAACGACCCTAGTACTGCCAGGTGGAAGTGCTAACCATTTAGAGCAACTGTGCTGCCCATATGTGAATCATTGTTCAGCTTCTATCTGCCTTCTTATACAATGTTGTAAAACTCAACAATACTACATTATATTTAATTATTATTTATATATATCCCTTATTCCACCTCCCCATCTCAATATACATTGACCCCTTACTGCACCCCCCATCTCTATGCATCATTAAGCATTATCAAACCTCCACATCTCCATATGCATCCTTAACCCCTTTACTGCACCTCCACCATCTCCATATACATCAGTGACCCCTTAGACCCCTTACCCCCCCCCCAATCGCCACACATTGATCCCTTAATTCACACCCCCCTCCCCCATTGACATATATTAACCCCTTATGGCACCCCCCCCCATCTCTATGTATCATTAACCTTTTATTGTATTTCCTCATCTCCATATACATCATTAACCCTTTACTGCACCCCACCCCCCAATCTCCATGTGTCATTAACCTGTCTTGCAGCTCTCTTCTGATCTTCATAGTCAGTGCTTGGGGATCGGAGTAAACATTCACTTCTTATAATAAAGATAAAAGCAGCTTGCATAAGGAAAAACCTCTAAATCCTTAAAAACATAAAAATCAAAAAATGCAGCACTAAAGCAAATATAAATATCAATAGATCTCATATAAATAAATAATAAATAGCAGTAAATCTTATATAGATTAAATGTAAAGTGACCGGTGATAGTAAACAAATCAGAGCGCTATAGACGCGGTAAAGTGACAATAGTGCGTAATCTTAAATCAATCTAATAACAGTAAAAATAAATGCACAATATAAACGTATAGCAGTCCACAGACTACTTTTCCTTATAAGTGCCTATGAGACATCCAGTGCTTGGAAATAGTGATTAATTCTCACTGGGGTTGCATTCAAAAGGTGCTTGTGCTTCTGTAGATTAGAAAGAGATATGCTTGCACTCACCAGATGCACAATTTAATTGCGCATTTATAGTACACTCAGTAGGGCACTAGCTGTCATCTAGGAACCGATATATATGAGGCACTTCTCAGGTAATCAGTACGCCTTGGGAACGGACTCCCTACACTAAAAATAGGTATTGCTAATTGGTATCGAGAAAAATCGGTACTGGGTCTTACAAAACTGGTATCTGTGCATCCCTAATCAAAAGGAGGAGTATGGACTGGAATTTGGAAGGGTAAATTTATTTATATTATCCATTAATAGTACAGAGAACACCTGGAGACATTCTGCATAATCTGAAAACTATTTGAAGACATTCTACACATTCTAAATACTATCAGCTAAAGTCTTTGCATATAAAACCATACAAATAGGTTTGGGAAAAAAATAACTTATAGAGCCTAGGAGTATTTTTACCAGTCTAGTACCCTCTAATACACTGAGTACGCATATATACTACTATCTCAAACTCTTGAGCTACTGATTTAACACAAAGAGCTGTAGACAAAGTAAAAACCTCTGGAAACATATATACAACATGATACATTAATTTCTCCATGAAAAAAACTAGTAAGAAACTCATGGAGCCCTACTAACTGAAGTGGTGAAATTACTTTACAAATATGAGACAAAACTTGTAGCATTAATTTTTTGACACAGGACTAACAATCACTAAGGCTTGCTTCACACTTATTCGGTTTACTGCTCCATACCTCAAAGCACATTAAAGTGATTGTAAAGGTTATATATGTGTGACTTGCGAGCCAAACCTACTAAATTACTTCAATGGATCGCCAACATTAAACACATAACTTCAACTGTGCAAATTAAATGATATACCTATAAATGTAGCGCTCCTTATTACCACAATAACAAAATAATATATCCCTTCTGTGATATAACACACCATAAATTTAAACTAAAAAATCAATTATAACAAGTGACAGTGTTACATAATCAAAATATTGTGACACAAAACAATTTGAAATTTTAAATAATAGTCCCATCAATCAATATAGTCCAATATTAGTGATAAGGTGATCATTAATCATCAATTTGTGACTTTCCGTGAATCCTCCAACTGATAAAGATGTATGCTCACCTCCTTTAATGCCTAAAATTAGGCTATACACACTTGTGGTTCACCCTCCTTGGAACCTGCCAGAATGATTTCTATATAGAATAGTTGTAAGGGACTATTATTTAAAATTTCAAATTGTTTTGTGTGACAATTTTTTGATTATGTAACACTGTCACTTGTTATAATTGATTTTTTAGTTTAAATTTATGGTGTGTTACATCACAGAAGGGATATATTATTTTGTTATTGTGGTAATAAGGAGCGCTACATTTATAGGTATATCATTTGATTGTAAAGGTTCTTATTTTTTTTTAAATAACAAAAATGTCATACTTACCTGCTCTTTGCAATGGTTTTGCACAAAGCAGCCCTGATCCTCCCCTTCTCGGGTCCCCCTCTGACACTCCAGGCCCCCCCCCCCATGCACTTGTGCCCACTTGCTCTGGGGACACTTGTGCCCACTTGCTTGCAAGCTGCCTCTGTGTGTGAAACATACAGAGCGTGGCTCAGACTCCCCCATCCCCCTCCCTCTTCCCTGATTGTGATTAACAGCCAATGGCTTTCGATGCTGTGTCTCAGCCAGTTGGGCTCAGGTGAATATAAGGGGGCTGAGGGTGGAGCTGCACACTGAAGGTTTTTTTACTTTCATGCATAGAACTGGTTGTGCCAAACATCTTCCATTTGAGAATTATGGAGGCTACTGTGATCTTGGGAACCTTTTGTGTAGCTGAAATTTTTTTTGTAGCTTTCCCTAGATCTGTGCCTTGCAACAATCCTGTCACTGAGCTCTGCAGGCAGTTCCTTTTTACCTCGTGGCTTTTGCTCTGATACAGTATGCATTGTCAGCTGTGAAGCCTTTTATACAGAGGTGTGTGCAGGGGCGGACTGACAACTCATGGGGCCCCCGGGCAATAGGGGATCATGGGGCCCCTGTGTCCTTGCCCAAACTCAAAAAAGCCTATGAAAAAGGTACCAGGGGCATCTCATGGAGCTCCCTACTGACTCTGGGCCCTCGGGCAGTGCTCGAGTTTCCAAATGGTCAGTCCGCCCCTGAGTGTGTGCCTTTCCAAATCATGTCCAATCAATTTAATTTAGCACAGGTGGGCTCCAATGAAGGTGTAGAAACATCTCGGCAATAATCAGGAGAAATGGGAGGCACCTGAACTAAAATTGTTGTTGCTAAGGGTCTGAATACTTATGCCAATGTGATATTTCAGTTTTTTATAGTTAATAAATTGCAAACATTTTTAAAATTCTGTTTTTGATTTGTCATTATGGGGTAGTGAGTGTAGATTAATTATAATAATTTAAACAACTGTGGTATTATGCTGCAACATAACAAAAGTGAAGGTGGTCTGAATACTTTCTGAATGCACTGTACATGAAGAGTAACTTGCAACACATCACAACGCACATGTGTGCACAGCATAATTTTTTATCCCTCAAATGTTATACTAAGGTTATTATTATATTACCGTAATTCACATGCAGCAGCACACTTATAATCTAAAAATATAGACCCAGTAAAAAGACAGATAGGTGAGGCTGCTATACATGCCTAATCTTGAGTGGTTTTAAAGCAAAGGTGTAGGCTCCGCTTTTCTGCCTCCTCCCCTCTGCTGCCACATTTGGCACTTTTTGGGGGGGAGCAGGTACCTGGTTTTGATAGTTCAGCTTCCCCGCAGCCCTCTGGGACACTTCCAAGGACCCAAAGGAATGCAGCCCATTCATAAAGCACAGCACGCTTCGGGCATGCACAGTAGGAAACCGGTGGTGAAGCGACAAGGCTTCACTGCCAGTTTCCCTTAGTCAAGATCGCGGCATCAGCACCCGACAGCTGATTGGAGAATCAGCCTGGGGCGAGGACACCTGGATGCATTTTTTTGGAAGGTGATAGGGGCCGAAGCTCCACTTAATTTGTGTTTTTAATCAATTTGTGCTGAATTGTATTAGATTGTGTTGGCAAAAAAAATTACCACCTATTCTAAAATCTCTTACAATATGTATCAAGGCTAGGTTCACACTGTAGTGGGTTTGTGGTCCACGTTGAATGGGTTGCTGTGCCTGAGTTTGCTGCAAAAAAAAAAAAGTTGGATTGCCTCTCACTGTGCTGTGCTGATAAAAAGTACTTCATGCAGTACTTTTTCTCAGTGTACAGTGCCTACACAACACCACAACGCAGTGGTGTGAAGCGGGCACATAGGAGACAAGGCATTTTGTCTTTTCCATGTGGTGGGACTGCACTGGAATAACCACCCAATGCAGTCCCTCCGTATCTGGTGTGAATACACCCTAACACACATGCACTAACTCAATGCACTACCATGTGTTAAGGCTTGCTGTGTTAAGGCAGCCCATCAAACGTAAATGAGCTGGCAGTGCATGTCAATGCATGAAAAAAAAACAGGAATGACTTCATTTTTTAAAGCAGTGCACCACAATGTGTAACATGTGCACTGTGGTGTGTTGCAGTGTGGGTGTGTTGCCTGCTACTGTATTTGTTCATTGGGGGCTAATCTAAATCAATGTAATTCATTCTAAAAATTGCAACACATTAATGTGAATGGGCCCCTATTCTTTTTTTGCCCTCCTGTTAAACGAAAAGATTTGTGTACACTCATTAAAAGGAAAATGGAGAGCTGTTGTATTCAATATATAACAAATACTTTTTCTTATTTCCAGGCCACAGAAAGTAATATCATTCTGGTGCAGGGGTCTCCAAACTTTCTAAACAAAGGGCCAATTTACTGTCCTTCAGACTTTAAGGGGGCCGGAGTTTGGCCACTTGGAGTAGAAAATGCCATAGGCTTGGTGGTCAGTGGGAGTAAAAAAATTACATAGCACCTGTGATTAGTAGGGAGTGGAATCATGCCTCCTCATTGATGTCAGTAAGAGGAATAGTGCCCCATCGTTGGTATCAATGGAAGGAACAGTGCCCCATCATTGCTGTCAGTGAAAGGAATGGTGTCCCATCATTGGTGTCACTGAGAGGAATAGTACCCCATCATTGCTGTCAGTGGGAGGAATGGTGCCCCATCATTGGTATTAGTGGGAGAAAGTATTCCCCATCATTGGTGTCAGTAGAGGAATTATTCCCCATCATTGGTGTAAGTGGGAGGAATAGTGCTTGAATGTTGGTGTCAGCTGAAGGAATGGTGCTTCATTGTTGGTGTTAGTGGGAGGAATAGTGACCCATATCAGTGGGAGGAAAAGTGCCACAAAAGCTGGATAAAGGCAAGCAAAGGGACACATTCGTCCCGTGGGCCACAGTTTGGAGACCACTGTCTTTTTAAAAAGTGTACTGATAATGTTTAGTGGTGTACAGCTTCAAAGAAACATACTACTCATATCATTTTAAGAAAATGTATTACTCATTATATTATTTGCAATAAAGAAAATATTTTCCTTACCTCGAGTAACTTAGTATCTGACAAATATCTGTTTCCAAAATGATCAATGAACACAAAGTCAAAGTGTTCTACTCCATGCTCTGCTTTTAGCTTGGGGATGATGTGTTCTGTGGAATTCTGCAATATCTTCACCTACAGAAGAATTATATGGATTAGGATTCAAATATATGGGCAAATCCAATTAACCCACATAGAGATCTTGATAACAGCTAGTTGCAGGCAGATGTGCTGAAGGCGTAAAGCATATGTTATTTCTCTTATGGTTATAAACCAGTGTGAAATATGGAAATTAAAGTTTTTTTCCATTATTTCTGTGGTTATATGGGAAAACATTATATGTAAGATATTATTAGAGTTACTTATAAACAGTGGTTACATATCCTATTGACTTTTTACAGCTTGCAAACATTATTCATCATCATCATACAGATTTAAACCCTACATGGTTTACTTATCGTGAACTAAGCACAGACTGGTCATATTGCATGTAAAAATTGCAATGCACATGTCAAGGTCTATGGCCATCTGTAGAGACATGTCTGATTTAATGATATCATGTAGAAAATAATTACTTAGTTATTAACAAATGCATATATTTATTAAAGACATAAACATACAATATAGAAGCAAAATGCAAATTTCTAATGTACTGTATATAGCTGTACAGCTATTAGTCCCCACCCATAAAAAAATTGGTGCACCTAAAACTTTTGTGGAGGCTTATAAAACTATTTTGTGTCTATGCCCGGGATGCTCAACCTGTGGCCCTCAGGGCCATCTGATGTGGCACTCGACCTCAAACCAGGAAAGTGCATTTCTATTAAATCCTGTAAGTTTGGTGCAAGAGACAATAGAACTCTATGGCAAACTGTAGCTAAGCCGCAGGAACAATGCGATGTACCTGCGGTGCGGGTAAACGGCAGTGCATCAGTGTCAAAACAGCCTTATAGGGGGCTCAGAACAGTAAGGGTTTGTTTGCATTTGTGGTTTGGGGGGGTGGTAAAACCCCAAAACTGAGATGTTTTACAACACCCCCCCAACCACTGGTTTAGTGTCAGGGGTTGCAATGATGACACTGCCCCATGCTTCAGGGGGCCCGTGCGGTCTCCCTGTCACATTCTGTTTTACACTTGGACAGGAGTTGCAGCGGGTATATACAGGAACCAATCCTCTCCATTTTACTCCTACAACTGATGAAAGTCGCCTTCTCCTCCTCTCCTGTTGGCCGGAATTCAGTGGCTACAGGAGGAAAATGTTCATTATGCTAATCAAAATCAAAAAATTGAAATTTTGAACCAATTAATTTCATTGTGGCCCATGACTGGTTACGAAATCACTTAAGTGGTCCTTGCTCTTCAAAAGGTTGAGCACCCCTGGTCTATGCTGAGAAGTTAAAGCAGTCTTTAATAGCAACTCAGTGTTGCTTCATATGCAAAGTGTACCTTGTCTTTAACTCCCGCAAACTCAATCATTTGTCTGGCCACATCAGCGTGCGCAGGATTCATCTCTATGGTGAGCAGCAGAGCTTCAGGCTTCAGTAAGCGAGCTATACGGATGGCGGAATAACCACAATAAGTGCCCAGCTCTAGAACCATGGAGGGGTTAGTTTCTTGAAGCACATTATCCAGAATCAGGCCTAAAAGTGGAGTGACACAGTAAAATTTTCATCTGTAATGGAGGATTACCTAGGTGTATAAAAATGTTTGAATGAATGCAGTAATAAGCGATGCATGAATGTTAAGATAATATAATACTTTATTATCATTGTATACATACAAGGTACTCTTAACAACAGCAAAATTAAAAAAATATTTTTCAAACACATGCATACTTCCTAACGGATGCTCATATATCTATCCTTTAATATGGCAAAAATATAAATATTTTAAAAAAGTAAACATTTTACATGGAATTCCTGAAACACTGCACCTAATGGATTTATAGACAATACAATACAGTATTGATCCCAAATATGCATTTTCCCCATAAGCCTTAAATGTATGGGTTTTGTATGTAAACTTTTTTGCTTGAGGTGATTGTAGCCGTATTAGTGCATTTGTGGCAGAAACAATTGAGTACTGTCCGTGATACTTTTTTTATTTGCACTAACATACAATTTTGAGGACAAGCTTTTGGGGTATGTCCCCTTCTTCAAGGTCCTGCCTGGACTTGCTGTATATCTGAGTGGGATTAGGAAAAACCTTCAACCAAACAATCAGCAAAAAAAACCTGAAAAACCAGTTTGAGGGAATGTGTATTCAGTGCCTTTCCTATCTTGGATCTCTTGATGTTGTTAAAAGGTTTCCAGGGCTTCCAAGTTTAAAGTAGCAATGACAATGTAACCTAAGGTAAAAGGTAAGTATTTCATTAAAAGGGCAATAAATTAAAGGTCCCTTTAAGATCCAAATGACAGGGTAGCACTGACTTTCACCAGTGGCACTTCTTTTTCATAAACTGACTTGAAATCATATCTAAACCTCAAAAACAAAAATGTAATAGAGAACAGTTTACCAATCCTTAACCCTAAGTTCACACCTAAGCATTTTCTGCAGCGTTTTGCATTTTGCAGAAATGCAGTACAGTCCATTTAACATGATTTCTTATGGGACATGTTCACATCTGTGCATTTTCACCCAGTCCGTTTTTTGCAAAGGGTTAGGGACTTTTTTGAACGCAAAAAGTTGCATTTTTGGTTTTATAGACTTCAATGGAAACACTGCAGAAAAGCATGTATTGCATTTTTGCTGCATTTTTTATGCATTTTGCGTTTTGTATTTCAAATCTACCTAGCAACAACAAAAATAAAAAAAATGCAAAATGCATCAAACACGTGACAAAAAAGCAATGCAGAAACAGCTCAAACATAGCCTGCATAGGTGTGAACCTAGTCTGAGGCTACATTCACACTTTTGCATAGCGGGAACAAGTATTTCCATTACGCACTTTTGACAGGCGATTTTGCCTGTCACACAGGGCAGCTCGTTCTCTTGAAGGGGCTGCCCTATGTGCAATTGTTGCCTGAAAAGAAGCTCCTGCTCCTTTATGGGTGACAAGCTCCACCCAATTTTGAAAGGTGTGGTTTGGCAAGATTGCCATGAGATCCTGTCGCGCAGCAGAGTTGCATTGCATTTGGGCCATTGAAGGATAGTGGCAACCAAACATGAGCAGCATGTTGTACAGTGATTGCTATGAGATCTTGAGATGTGAAAGGGCCATAATGTGGTGGCTGCATTAGTTTCCTTTTTTATCACTTGGTAATTCTGCAAATAACATATCCCCTGTTCCTGGGTGGCCACACTCACTCCTGCTCTGTATCTATGGAGGGAGCAATGCTGCTCCCTAACCTTTAACTTCTCTATTAAAACTGAAATGATGATTAAAAGTGTGTCAGGCAAAAACCCCCCAAAATTCCAGTTTTCAAGTTTTGGGCAGGCTGAGGAAGAATTAGAATTGCTTTTAGGTTTCTACATTCACTTCCTGCCTGAGTGACAATGGTTTCACCAGAAGGAAATGAAGGAAAACCTACAACAACAACAACATGGTAAGGCTTAAAAATCTTACAGAGGTTCTAGCTCTTCTCCGCTAAAAAAAAAAAAAGTAGTTTTATTTTCTGTTAGCATTTAAACAAAATCTTAACCCCTATATTCTTCCTAACCTTAACCCTTAACTTGACACTGAATTAACCTGTTCCCACGTGGCACATAGCTGAATGACGGCTGAGCGGGACTTTCGCCGATCCGGGTGGGCATCATATCAGATTCTTCCCCAAATGCGCCTCGGACACAGACGATGACAGATCTGTGTACCTTCACATTTCAAGTACCATGTGATCTACTGTGACCAATCACAGCAGATTACAGGACAATTGTAAACAATGGATGGTTTCCTTTCATGCCATGCATTGTATACAATTGTGTCACTAGCTGTGATTGGTCACAGTGATCACATGTACAGACTGGCCCAATCACAACCCATCTGTGCCATGTGATTAGTTATGGCCAATCACAACAAAAAAAGCTGAATGAATCGATTTAATTCAGTTAAATGCTTGCTTATAGCAAATAATATCTTTGCTGGAAGCAATCATAATGTTTAAAAAAAAAATAAATACTGATCACTTCCCCAGAGTAGTACAATGTTACTATGGTAACATTATACTACTCTTGTCACAGTGCATCATGAAAACAATCTTTAAAACATTTTTATTAAAGTAATAAAAATAAAAAAAACACAGAAATAAAGTTAAAAAAAATATTTTTTTTTTTGTACTGTCATTAGTCAGTGTCCCTGATCAGCACCACACCAGTTATATGATGAGGTGACAGTAAGTAAAATAGAAAAAATAATTTTGTGAAATTTTTTTTTTTAATTTCCTAATTTTTCAAAACATTATGACAAAAAATTACAACTTCAAAAAACCCACCATGCCTCTTAATGAATACCTCTGACTGTCTGCTTAGCAAAATGGGTCATTTGAGGGATATCTGTACTATCCTGGCATTTTTGGGCCTCAAGAAATTAAATTGGCTGTCAGTACTTCAGGATTGACCTATTTTCAGATATATTTTCAGATATATCCCATAGTTTGTGAACTCTATAACTTTCCTACAGACTAAATAATAAATACTGATTTGGGTTATTTTCACCAAAGAAATGAAGCAGAATACATATTGGCCTAAATTTATGAAGAACAATTATTTATTTGCTAAATTTTAACAGAAACCAAGAAAAACATGGGGTGTTTTTTTCCAAAGTTTTGGTATTTTTTAGGTAATTTAGCAAAAAAATAAAAACCCCAGCGGTGATTAAATACCACCAAAAGAAAGCTCTAGTTGTGTGAACAAAATGCAAAAAATTTAGTTTGGGTACAGCGTTGCATGACTGCGCAATTGTTATTCAAAGTGTGAGAGTGCTGAAAGCTGAAAATTGACCTGGGCAGGAAGGGGGTAAAAGTGACCAGTATTGAAGTAGAATTCCAGGCTAAACCTAAGTAATCTGAAAAAATGCTCCTTCCCTCCTCCTAACCCCTATTGTGACTAACCTGTGTAAGAAAAATATGAATACTTACCTTTTTCAGGCTGCTCCGGTCATATAATCTCCCTTGTGTCAGTCAGCACCAGCTGCAGTGGAAAAAGGGGGGAAGGTAGAAGTAGTAAGGGCTAGGGAAACCTACAACCTAAATCCTCTGGTAGAATAGGGCAGGAAAAAGAGATTAAACAGTAATGGCCTGCTAGACTGCTCATCAGCACACATAGAATATCACATTCAGCTGACCCTAATAGAGCCGATGTAAACATAGGCAGGACACACAGGACTGGCAGGAGCAACTGCATACCCTTGTCTGAGGGGGGGCCAGTTTTTTTTTGTTTGTATAATTTCAATTCACATTTAAAGACACAAATTATATTTTAGTTAAAAACTGAGCTTCTACATTTGTTTGGAGTTCTGCTTTAGGGACTTATTTTTCAGAAAACATTGTGTTTATAATTATCACAACAAATTAGGATATAAGGGCTCATTCTGACACCCGCCTTGCACGCTGAATCGCTGTTTTCTGCATGTACATCTACGTAGAAGATGCGCACAAGCAACTTATAGCAGTGGATGCAGACTAGCAGCTGCATGGACACAGTCACATGTCAAAATAGGACATACGTTCAGGAGCAGGTTTATGGATCCAATAACAGACAGTATGCTTTCTGCATCTGCATCCAACTCTATAGGCCGCCTGCACGCAGTTCGGGGCAGATGGAAGCGCAAAAACAAATGCGGACTGCACACAGAACAGTTTTCAAACTCCTAAAAAGTACACTCATATTAAGATAACGGAAAATTGAATGTATTCTTACCGTAGATTTCCTTTCCTGATGAGCTTCATGTAAGCACAGCTGGGGGTGGGACCCATTCCCAGCTGTGCTGACATGGAGCCGTCAGAAAAAAGGAAAACTGAATGGCACTAACACCTGGTTCACATATCTGCGTTCCTGCGGTCCGCGTTTTGCATGGGCACGAGAGCCCGTTCATTTGAATGGATTCCCATGCCCCAGGACACGCAGGGAAGAAGTCCCTGCACGTTTTCTGAAAACGTAGCCCACACGGGAACCTCGGTTCCCAGTATGGTTGCGATTTCCAGTGCAGGCGGCGTGCCATTAGAATTAATGGCACCCGCCCACGGGTCCGCATTCTTCTGTGCGGGTGGTGCAGCTGCACACCCGCCCATATGTGAACCTAGCCTTATAATTTTTTCTGTCCTGACGAGCTCCATGTCAGCACAGCTGGGTATGGGCCCCATCCCCAGCTGTGCTGACATGGAGCCATCAGGAAAATATTTTACCCTAACCTGTGCCCAGTATACTACAAAAAGTGTAGTGTTGTTTCACTGTTGTAGAGAGATACCCTTCCTGTCTAGGAGACTACACAGAAAGTAATGGTAAATCGCCCCTTTAGGGACAAAGATCAGTAAAACCAAGACAGAGATTCTAACTACACCACTCGATCAAAACTTAAAAAAATAAATGCTCCGGTTGGAATTGGGATTTAACAGGTGCAATCTCACATGTCATTTTAGTGTCAAATATAGTTATGTTTATATACTGTATAAACATAACTAGTAAGACAATGCACTAGTACGTAGATCCCATTGCACTTGCAGAAATACCTTTTTCATCTCCCACATTCATGGCCCATTCCTTTTCTCGGCAATATTTATCAATATGGTCCAGCACACTCTGAGGGTTGCCACGTACTGCATTCTGCAGCACAAACTCCAGAATCCTCTGTTCTCTGGTTTCAGCCATAGATACTGCAAAGCCTCAGTTCAATCCTGGTACCTAGAAAGTTGAAATGACAGCAATGGCTCATTATCACCATATACAAGGTATGCATTTTGTTGTGTTCCCTAGTGCAGGCAAAGGTCATGCCATTACAAAGCAATGCACAAAAGTGAATGTTATGTAAATGGAAAACCTTCCTCATGTAGCATAACCCCCTTAGGGATTGCTGATGAATTTGGATCCCCATATAGTCCTGCACAGCCAGACAATTACCATTTCCTACACATCTTTTATCCACAGACAGAAATCAGGCCTTGAGCATTGGTTTTGTTGTTTTATAGAGGGAATTAAACTTAGGGTTAGGGTTTAGGGATGTATAGGATGCCCAAGGCAACTGAAGTCTTAGGACAACTTATTGAACTACTCACAGCTTCTTTTCTCTGACACACAGTCTCTGTTGGAGTGCTAGCCAGTAGCTCCAGTTGTACTACCCCAGGCTCTAGATGAACTCCTCTTTACCCAGCAATCTGAAGGTTTTCTCCATGAGCAGGGGATCTGGCTCCTGTTCCCCTAAATAAGTAGAAGGCTAATCTGGTTTTCCACCAGAGTGCTCTTTCCCCTATCCACCAAGGGGGTGCAGGTGTACTCACTCAGACGCTCTCCTGTACCACTTGCGGAATGGCTGCTGCTACCAGACCTATCAGCTGGGCTGTTCCTTCCCTGCCACGAAGTCAGCCACGAAGTGGTAGGCCATGTAAAATGAGAGTGGGGTCAGCACATGCTGAAGCGCAAAGTGCGCAGAAGTCACCAACTGTCTGCAGAGTCAATAGCTAAAGACCTCCAAACTTCATGTGACCTTCAGATTAGCACAACAGTGCGCAGAGAGCTTCATGAAATGGGTTTTCATGGCCGAGCAGCTGCATCCAAGGATTACATCAAAAAGTGCAATGCTAAGTGTTGGATGCAATGGGGTAAAGCACGCCGCCACTGGACTCTAGAGTAGTGGAGACGTATTCTCTGGAGTGAAGAATCATGCTTCTTTGTCTGGCAATCCAATGGATGTGTCTGGGTTTGGCAGTTGCCAAAAGAATGGTACTTGCCTGACTGCATTGTGCCAAGTGTAAAGTTTGGTGGAGGGGGGATTATGGTGTGGGGTTGTTTTTCAGGGGTTGGGCTTGGACCCTTAATTACAGTGAAAGGAACTCTTAAGGCATCAACATGCCAAGACATTTTGGACAATTTCATGCTCCCAACTTTGTGGGAACAGTTTGGGGATAGGCCTTTCCTGTTCCAACATTACTTCTCACCAGTGTGCACAAAGCAAGGTCCATAAAGACATAGATGAGCGAGGTTTGGGGTGGAAGAACTTGACTGGCCTACACAGAGTCCTGTCCTCAAACCGAAAGAACACCTTTGGGATGAATTAGAGCAGAGACTGCGATCCAGGCCTTCTCATCCGACATCAGTGCCTAACCTCACAAATGCACTTCTGGAAGATTGGTCAAACATTCCCATGGACACACTCCAAAACTTTGTGGACAGCCTTCCCAGAAGAGTTGAAGCTGTTATAGCTCCAAAGGGTGGGCCAACTCAATATTGAGCCCTACAGACTAAGACTGGGATGCCATTAAAGTTCATGTGCGTGTAAAGGCAGGCGTTCCAATACTTTTGGCAATATAGTATATTTACTTATTATTTATTTATTTCAGGTACTTATATAGCACCGTCATTTTATGCAGTGCTTTACATATATATATTGTACATTCACATCAGTCCCTAAGGGCTCATTCACACTTGACTGTTTTACCAACGCCTGCCCCTATAGCGTTTGGCAAGCGTTGGTCCGGCATTTGCGGAGCGGTTTTTTATGCTCGCAAGTTTAGCGGCGGTTGCTAGGCATTTGGTAAAAACGTTTCCCAAACGCCTCTCTGCCGCCTGCACACAAAACACTACTGTGAACGTAGCCTAACCCTCAAGGGGTGTACAATCTAAGGTCCCTAACTCGCATTCATACATACACATACTATGGACAATTTTAGACAGGATCCAATTAACCTACCTGCATGTCTTTGGTGTGTAAGAGGAAACCGGACTACCCGGAGGAAACCCACACAGGCACATGGAGAACATGCAAACTCTAGGTAGGTGGTGCAATGGTTGGGATTCGAACCAACGACCCTACTACTGCCAGATGGAAGTGCTAACCACTAAGCCACTGTGCCGCCCCATATATGTTATACTTACCCTGTATATGGCATTAAATATGGTTCAATGCTATCAGCTCTGTCTCCACCCCACACCAGGGGGCATGCAAGTGATAAAGGTTGGGAACTACTGCTGTAATCATAGAGTGTAAATTCTCCACCACATGTCCTTTGGGCTTGCTCTAGCAGGGTGTGCTAGAGATACAGTAAGTCATTCTGTGTTATAGGCATTTGCTAACCTAGCCAATCAGTGGGCCTGGAGAATCTGCTGAGACATGCTGGGGAAACAATTAAATATCCAAGGCACTTCTTGTTCTGCCTCTTTCCTCCTGGGCTTTTGCCCTGTGAGGATGTCAGCCGAAAAGTTGAGTTCTCCTAGGCCCTGGGCCTAACATGGAAAGATGCAGAGATCTGGCCCCTGAATTCTGCGTACTGTAACTTGCTCCTGACTCCTGAACTCTGCGTTACTTATTTCCCCGGAACTCTGTGTCACTTACTACTATACATATTCTAGAGGTTTTATTATAGAGGACCCAATCATGATCATCATCATAGATAGCTGTGCATCTGAGTTCTTGTAAGTAAGCGGATTATAGAGGCGTATATAGAGAAGTATACAATTGTAATCAGCCCAGGAGATGTGGGTCTGATTTTTGCACATAGCATTGAAAGGTAGAAGAGGTGTAATTGTATATTGTATTTTATATTTATAAAAATCATTAGAGGGTATATGATGGTAAATCTTTTAGATGCACATCTTGGAATTCATGAGTTGTGCACCATCAGAATTTTGAAGCTAAAATAGCAGATGACTGGCGTCAATGTTTTGAACCCTATGGAAGGGATAAGGGTGGACAAGAATTATATATTAAATTGTCAAGAGGCCATTTGGTAACTGCTTTGCCTAGACAACACAACAGCACATCAATGTGTATGCAGAGGCAGCATGACCCATGCAAAACAGTGCAATGAGCTATTTTGTTTCAAACGTAGCTTTTAAATTGTATACTGTATCATCAAGTGGCCAAAAATTGTACTGTACCATTTAAAACAATCCACTCTAAGGCATCTATCAGTTTACTAGTATTACTGGAACAAATGATCAATTAGATGCATATATGTACAAGTAAAGTAACAACATTTTGGACTGTTGCAGAGGGAGAGGAAGTCAGTGAGAACTTAGTCCTTTATGGTTTCCTGGGTCACTGGGAAGTGATCCGGTTTGATAGTGCTGTCCCATGTGACTCTGGTGGCCATCTTGGATTGGGCAGAGTCTATTTAAAACCCTAGCCCCTGGGTTTGGCACACATTTTTATGAATGGACAATGTAGGGACAGGTTACTCCTCTGTCAGGGAAAGTGAGTAGTGGTAGGGAAAGGTTCCAGATGAGTATAGACAGGATGGGACAAGCTATCCTCCCTAGGAATCTTCCCCATTGGGTTCAGACTGGCCAGGACGCATTATGACCATGGAAACAGATGCATCAGAACCTGATCCACTCCACAACCTTGCACAGAACTGTGAGTGTTTTCAGCTGGGTGCCCTCCTTCTGGACTGCTTGTATTTGTTGTCATTCTTTTAATACAAGTTTTGTTAATTGCAGTGTATTTACTGCTGCTGCACCATGCTACACCCACCAACAAACAAGTAAAAGATCATTTGTGTAACAAAGAGGCCTAATTAACATATATGTGTAACACCCTGCTATTGTTCAGACTGCAGGATGCTAAAAGAGACACAAGATAGCAGTGTCCTGCAACTCCATGGCACACATTCTGGTGAAAAGCTTTATGGATTTTGTAGGCTGAACTGCAGGACTTTGCTAAAAGGCAGCCAACTGGAGGACCACATTTCCCAGAAGAGCAGGCGTGTGGGCAGAGGCATATAAATGTAAAAGCCTGGGAGCGGAGGCAGGAAGTGAACTTGGAGAGAGCTAGAAGGAAGGAGTGAGGAGAGAGAGAGCTATGTAGAATGACAGAGAACCGGACCGGAGAGAGAGTGAGAATGGAGAAAGAGGGAGGAACAGCCAACCACTGACGTCGTCCAAGCATCAGGAGAACTACCCTGTCACCTGAAGTGATGCAGCCACTAGTTAACTCTTCAGGAGGAACTGCAGGACCACTGGGGGCCCCCATCTACAGCGAGACCACCAGTGACTGAGATGATGCAACAGATCAGGTGAGAGAGTCCAATCTCCAACCAATTAAGTTGTCACTGACATTCTATTGAATCATCCAGTCTCTATCTAGCTACAGTTATTGTTCACAAGTTATAAAAGTCAGAGAACACTGCATTGCCTGCCCTCTGTGAGCCAAGCCACAACACTGTTTCCTCTGCAATTGGATTAAGTCCATCAAGGGACACTTGTCATTGTTGCCATTTGCTGTTGTGGCCTAGTGAGGAATGAACCCCTTGTCAATAAGTGCTTGTTCGGGTGACTTGTTTCCAAGCCACTTGAGCAGGAGGTCTATGTCTTCACTACATGACAGGTCTAAGCCTCTGGTAGTGTTTTGGAAAGAAGATTGCCAGGCTCTGTAACATTCGAGGCAGTCATTAAACTTTTCAAGTCCCTTTGTGACTAACTTGCATTGTGCAAAGAACTTGGCAAAGTCTACTGTGGCTTGCTTAGCTGGCTATGTATTGCTATGGTAAAAAAGGTGAAACACCAACCCTCCCGACTGGGGCAGCATAAAACTCAAAGCGTGCTGTGTGTGACTATGAATTTACAAAGCCTGATTTCGGAACTCACACACGAGTGCCTCCATAGCAGCCAGTTTTCTATTGGGACACGCAAAGAAGAGGAGGACAGAGAGCGCTGGTGGGGGACCCCAGAAGAGGAAGTTTGGGGCTGCTCTATGCAAATCCATTGTACTGAGCAGATAAGTATAACATGTTTATTATTTTAAGCTTGGGGTTCAGCTTTAAAACAGCCGTTCTTGAAAAATGACAATATTGGTCATTGACAAAGCCCTGGGGACACTGTTAGACTGGACTTGACACAGCTTGCATTGTTATTTTGTAGTGTATAATCCTGGTACAGTGATCACATGAATAAATGGCCTTTTGTTTCAGGTCCAGCTGACGTTAGCTGAACAGTAATCAAATACACTACAGCTCAGACTTGTAGAAGGCTCTGGCAGTGAGTTTCTGGATATATTCTGGTCTGACTGCCTACCTTAGAAAATATTTCTAAAATGCATGTTGATGTTTCTACAGATTTGTAGTACACAAGCCTCTCGTTTTTTCAAGTAGAAGTAAAATTATTATTTTCAAGTACCTATGTTTCCTGACATTTGTTTATCCCAAGTGCAATCTTTACAATAAATTATACTCACAGTGTATATGTAAGTGTCCTTCTCAGCGCTCAGTCAGGAAGTGACTGAAATCACATGCTGTTTTCTTCTAATGTTCTTTAGAACTGGCCAAGCCACAGCAAGGAGATATTAAGCAATGATAGTGCAAATCGCTTGTTATTCCTGGCAGGATGAAAGCAAACACGTCTGCCCACTGGATTTGCCTTACCTGGCAGACGAAGAATGAGTCTCACAACTTATCGTGTTCAGCACATAATTAAATAATTATTCTGCTTAATACAAATCAGTCGGTTCCGTCTCCCTCACAGAATGTGTAATCAGAGCTGAGCTTGGCAAATAAATGAGTTGTCAGATTTGCCAAATCCTGCCCTTTGATACAGGACTGTTCTGAACTGGGCTTTGATGAGAATTTCCCTAGATCACATGCCAGGGTGGTCTGCCAGACTGTTCATGCAGAATAAAGGCAATAGAATGTTTGTGGCACGTTACTGATAAAGCAGAAAACTACTGTCATACATAGGTCAAAATGGGCTGGATCAGCAGGAACAATCAATGGGATTGTACACCCCATTAACACCCATCATACCATAAGAATATACCTAAATAATAAAATAAATAAACAACAAGGATTGTGGAAAAGTTTAGGCTGCAGCCCCTTTATTGGGTTTAAATCAATTTTAACTGCTTCCCCGCTGTCCTATAGCAGAATTACTGCTACAGGGCAGCAGGGCTGCGCAAAATCACGTACATATACGTGATTTTGTATTTCCAGGTAGGGGGCACATGCGCTGCCCTACCCACACCACCACTGGCTACAGCTGTTGATCATCAGGTCCCGGCTGGAGATTTCCCGACGGCACCTGGCAATCACCAAGGAACACTGACAGGGGAGAGGTCTGTATGTAAACAACACAGATCTCTCCCCTGTCAGGACCAACATGCAAAGCAGAACAATACAAAGCAGCATGTTTCCCTAGTAAAACACACATAGCACATACAGTAAAACAGCACACAGCACACAGTTAACCCTTTGATTGCTCCAGACGTTAACCCCTTCCTGCCCAGTGTCATTAGTACAGTGTCAGTGCTTTTTATTAGCACAGATCACTATTTTAGTGTCATTAGGATGTCAGTGGCAGTTAGTCAGTTCCCCCCCAAGTGTCACAATTCCCGCCGCAGTCCCGCTATAAGTCTCTGATCGCCACCCATTACTAGTATAAAAAATGTTGTAAATTCCAGCATATATACCGCCATTTGTAGACGTTATAACCGTCACGTAAACCAATTAATTTACACGTATTGGGATTTTTTTTCAGCAAAGACATGTAGCAGAATACATTTTGGCCTAAATTTATGATGAACTTTTTTACTGGATATGTTTTACATCAAAAAGTCAAAAATATTGTTATTTTTTTCAAAATTGTTGGTCTTTTATTGTTTATAGTGCAAAAAATTAAAAACACACAATCAAGTATCACCAAAAGAAAGCTCTATTTGTGGGAAAAAAAGGACATCAATTTCATTTGGGTCCAGTGTTGCATGACCGCGCAATTGTCAGTTAAAAGGGAGGGAGGGGGGGGGGGGTAAATCCTCTGGAGGGCAAGTGGTTAATTATGAAATGAACTTTAACCTTTAATACCAAACAGAACCACTGTTAACCATTACCAGACCAACATGCTTAGTCACTAAGACTCAAGCAGCAGTATCTTATACCAACCAAATAACCGTTTACCAACCACTGTCCACCCACAAAATGGACAACATTGCCCAAAAGCCAGGTCACCAACCTTGCCCCCCCTGCAACCGTGGCCTAAAAACAATCACTCTACAATCCAACATTCAAAATGCCCCTACCAGTATCTGAGAAAATGTATCAAAAAACATACCTCCCAAATTTCTGAAATTATAACATCCTTTCACACACAGTAAATAGCAAAGGACATGTCCCCAGTTACAGGGAAATCAAAGATCTAACATGAAGAAAATGATTGGCAGCATAACACTTTTGACAGTAAAATAGTACCTTTCGTATAGAGATATACACAAACCAAAAAGATTGACAACTGAAGCTAAATGAGGGACAGAAGAATTTGGTCTCAAAGGAGGGACAATTGGGAGCTATGCCAAATACTGCTAAACCTCTGATGAAACTCTCCAGTTTACAATAGAGAAAAAGTGAAGTTACCAATAATGAGTATACAGTAAATCAGCATATCACTCCATTCACATGTTATGGTAACTTTACAATGAACTGAAGCCCAGGCTTAGAAAACCACTTATTTGTGGACAGAACAGTTACCATTTTATTTAGAATGTCTAAGATTTGAATCAACCCAAATCATTTCCTTCCAGATGAACGACAAAGATATCCAACACAGATCACAGTTGCAAATAGGGAATATGAGCAGCCAGCTATTCCAAATACTTACCCCATATACCCTGCAAGAGAACGGTCATTTTAATAGGAGGAAAAATAAAATCATTCGCACCAGAAAACATAGGAATGTCAGCTATTCATACTATTATTTTTTTTTGTATTAATAATTATAAAAGACGGGGCTTGTGTAATAAATGCAAAGAGCAAGATAACGTATGCCTATTGTGGCAGTGTGGCAATCTGTCACCCTGGATTCTCAACAAGGCAGGTTGAGGGGCTCCAGGGTAAGTGTTTGATACGGAGGAAAGTGGCTTTTCACTTTCCTCCTTTGTTTGTAAGGTCTGTTTTGGGATCTGGAGCCTGGAGATTTCAAAGAGATCTGGGAGGGATGAAATCTCCAATCCTGGGACCAGGTTTTGGGAATGGCCAGGAGACTGATTGCACAGGTGTGTATGGGCCTTTTCATAGATTCAGGACCAGGGTTCTGGGCTCCACCCCGGCAGATAGGAGTCAGGTGGGCTTCACCTAGGAGAGGTGGAAGTCAAAAGCAGCAAGGGGCTGCTAGAGACTAGCTGTGTGCTAGTGGCCAGTGGTGTGCAAGAGCCATGTCTTGAAGAAGTCTGCAGGAGACAGACATCAAGCTGAGTATAAAGCCAGGAGGCTGAATCGTTGTTTTGTGTGATGGTGGATACCCCTGTGTGGGAAACTTCTGTTATTGAACTGTCATTTAAATAAAAGTGGGCTAAAAAAGGCCTTAAAAAAAGAAAGCGAGTAGCTGTGTGCGGTTAAAAGCTCTACCACTTTGAAGCGAGTTCCCACACTATCTACATTTTGATGTACTTCTCATGTAGCAGCTGCATATCCTGCAGCATCAACATCTTTCAAGGACAGATTTAAGTTACAATTCTGATAAAAGAAAGCCATTCACATGCAACAAAAAAAAGAAAGTCTTGCGAATAGTTAAAATTGCTCTGTTGGGCAATGTGAATGGCCTAAGGCATGAAATGATAACTGCCTATCTGTCAGGGTCCGCCGCGGCTCCGTCCCCGGCGCATGCGCAATAGCGGCGGCTCACGCCGGGACACAGGCACCAGATCCCGGCGGGCCGCGGCTGACAGGAGGCCGCGCATGCGCAGTAGGAGCCGCGGGGGCGCGCCTCGGGCGACCAATGACAGCCCGGGGGGGCGCGTCCTGGGCGGCCAATGGCAGTGCAGGGCGCGATATTTAAAGATGCCCTGCACTGTCATAAATCGCCGCAAGGTCTGATCTGATACCTGTGTTTCCTGTGATTGTGACCCGGATTGTTTGACGTTCTGCCTGCTCCTGCCCTGACTCGGATTATCTGACTACGCTGCCTTCCCCTGTGATTGACCCGGATTGTCCCTGACTACGCTGCCTTCTCCTGTCCCGACCCCCGGCTTGTTTGACCATTCTGCAGACTGACCCCGGTCTGACCCAGCGTGCGACCTGACCACTCTCTGCCTACTGTCTCAGTACCACGCCATTTCCCACGGTGACAACCGCCGGTTTATCCTGCCAGGTCCTGCCGGCCTCCTCACATCTGACTCTACTCTGTCCTACCTCTATCCACGGAGGCTCCCTCTGCCACGGGTGGTATTGCTCGGAGGTCGTGACCTGGTCCCGGTTCTGCTCCAAGTCCATCCCCACACATCAGGGGCCCTGGTGAAAACGCAGACCGGGACTTAGACCCCACGCTCCGGGTGATTCCGCCTAGTGGGCTGCCAGAGGTGCCACCTGGCGGATCCGTAACAGTACCTTGCGGCCATGACAGAGTCAGGAAGAGGCCCGGCCTCCCAGGAGGATATCTGCCAGCATATGGCGACCCTAACCCAAGCGGTCCAGACTTTTCATACCCGATGCTCCCACCTTGAGGACCGCATGGAGACATTAGTCACCCTTACATCCCCGGCACAGAGCTCGAGTCCCGCAGCTTCTCCTGGGGAATCACCTGCTACCCCAGCTCACGGAGCAGGGGCCGCACCCCCTACTCCTGAACCCCGCGTTCCCTTACCAGAACGCTTCCGTGGAGACCGAAGCCGCTTCAGGGCTTTCCGGAATGCGTGCATCCTGTTCTTCGACCTGCAGCCCCGCACGTTCACCACCGAGACCGTCAAGGTGGGGTTTATATAGTCTCTCTCCTTCAGGATGAGCCCCAGGATTGGGCTCATCGCCTGATGGAGAATCACGACCCCCATCTTGATTCCGTGACTGAATTTTTTAGAGCCATGGCCATACTATATGACGACCCTCAGCGAGCTGCTTCCGCAGAGTCCACCTTGTACTCTCTGCGGCAGGGTCGCCGGGCAGCCGAGGAGTACGCGTCTGAATTCAGACGCTGGATGGGGGACACCCGATGGAACAATGCGGCATTATGTCACCAATTTCGCATCGGGCTATCTGAGTCACTCAAAGACGAGTTAGCACGGGTAGGCCTACCTGACTCCCTAGAGAAGCTAATCGAGCTGGCCATACAAATTGACCGCAGACTGAGAGAACGCCGGCTTGAACAAAGCAACCAGGGTCAAAGGGCGGCTTGGGTACCATCAAGGGGGATTATTCCCGCCCACAGGAAGCACTACCCGGAGTTCGGAACCTGAGGACACCTCCGAACCCATGCAACTGGGACTGGCTCGGTCCACATTATCGGCCGAAGAACGTCAGAGGAGACTATCACAGAACCTCTGTCTGTACTGCGGAGAAAGCTGGCCACCGGGTGCGCTCCTGTCCTACGAAAAAATGTAAGTCCACTTCTAGTTTTTTTCCGTTATCTGCGGAAAGGGGTGATCAGTCAAGTTATCTGGCCATACCGTTGTCTTTACAGCTCCCAGGAAGAACCTTGACGGTGACAGCTATCATAGATTCGGGGGCATGTAGCTGCTTTATTGATCTCACGTTTGCTCACCAGCAAGGTATCCCACTCCAGACCAAGGAAAGGGGGCTGAACATCTTCCTGGCGGATGGGTCTAGCTTAAAATCGGGAGTGGTGAATCAGGAGACACCCCCTATTTTCGCCTCAATGGCTGATCATCACCAGGAATTCCTCCGTCTGGACGCCATCGCGTCCCCCCTTTTCCCGGTCATTCTGGGGCTTCCTTGGCTGCGAGCCCATAACCCCCAGATTGACTGGGAGAAGGGAACCGTGCAGTTTCGGTCCACATACTGTCTGAAAAGTTGCCACGTCTCAGGGCCCGTGGTCCCCCAATTACTCCTATGCATGGATGGGGATACAGATCTGTCCCAGGTTATTCCCCCGGCCTACCACGACTTTCTGGACGTGTTTAGTAAGCAAGGGGCAGACACACTTCCCCCACACCGATCTTACGACTGTCCCATAGACCTCCTGCCCGGATCCGAAATTTCGTTCGGCCGTATTTTCCCTTTATCAGAGCTCGAGTCAGAAGTTTTGAGGGAATACATAGACGAAAACCTTCAGAAGGGGTTTATTCGCCCTTCCACGTCCCCAGCCGGAGCCGGGCTATTCTTTGTAGAGAAGAAGGACAAGACACTGCGGCCCTGTATAGACTACCGCGACCTGAATAGGATCACGGTGAAAAAACCGCTACCCGTTACCCCTGGTTCCCGAGCTCCTCCAGAGGTTAAGGTCCGCAATGGTTTTTACTAAGCTAGACTTACGGGGGGCCTACAATCTAGTTCGTATCAGGGAAGGTGATGAATGGAAGACGGCCTTCCGTACGCGATACGGACACTTTGAATACCTAGTCATGCCGTTCGGGCTCTGTAACGCTCCGGCCACCTTCCAACATTTTATAAACGACGTGTTTCGTGATTTCCTTGATATCTTCATGGTTGTCTATTTGGACGACATCTTAATCTTCTCGCCCTCTCTGGAGGCTCATCGAAATCACGTGATGCGGGTGTTGGAACGTTTGCGCCAACACAGGCTATACGCCAAAGCAGACAAATGCTGTTTTGAACAGCATAAGATCACATTCCTGGGATTGGTTCTCTCCCCCGCGGGGGTCGCGATGGACCCCCGGAAAGTCTCGGCAATCCTGGATTGGCCGATACCCACCGATAAGAAGGGCGTGCAGCGTTTTATCGGTTTTGCAAACTTTTATCGAAAATTTATCAAGAACTTCTCCGGACTGGTCTCCCCAATCACGCAACTGACTAAACAGGGGATCCGCTTTAAGTGGTCTACCGAAGCACAAACTGCTTTTGAAGTTCTCAAGAAACTTTTTACCTCTGCTCCGATACTCAGTCATCCCGATTCTTCTCTCCCATACGTGTTGGAAGTGGACGCCTCAGAAAACGCGGTAGGAGCGGTCCTGTCTCAAAGGAACGGCACCAAGGAGCTGCTACATCCTGTAGCGTTCTTCTCCAGGAAATTGACACCTGCCGAGCGAAACTACGACATCGGAGATCGGGAGCTCCTGGCCATAAAGACCGCCCTGGAAGAATGGCGGTACTTGCTGGAAGGAGCTACACACCCCATCCTTATATATACCGATCACAAAAACCTGGAGTATTTGAGGACAGCCAGACGACTGAAGCCACGCCAGGCGAGATGGGCTCTTTTCTTTTCCCGGTTTACCTTCCACATAACTTATCGACCTGGCTCTAAGAACACTAAGCCGGACGCGCTGTCCCGCATGTTTGAGGACCCCGACGATACACCAAGACCTGACACGATCCTACCATCCGGAAATTTCCTCGTCCTACAGACGGAACTCCGCTCCAAACTTCTTGACGCTTCCATGGGACTACCAGCGCCGCCTGGGACACCTCTCCTGAACCGTGAAGGGTTATTGTGGAAGGAGGGTCGGATCGTAGTACCCGAAGGAGTCCGAACCATGGTCCTGGGCCACTGCCACGACCATCCAATGGCGGGCCATTTCGGAGTTACGAAGACCCTGGAACTTCTGCAGTGCTCATTCTGGTGGCCGAACATGGTCAAGGACTGCGAGCGCTACGTTCAGACTTGTCCTACCTGCCAGAGGAATAAACCCTCCAGAAGCAAGGCCTGGGGATTGTTGCGCCCGTTACCAATTCCAAAGAGGGCCTGGCAAATGATAGCCATGGACTTTATTGTCGAACTCCCACCGTCTCAAGGCCACACTGCCATATTTGTGATTGTCGATCGCTTCTCTAAGATGGCCCATTTCGTACCCCTGGAAAAGACACCATCCGCGCCGGAAACTGCACGAATATTTATCAAGGAAATAGTTAGACTACATGGAGTTCCCGAGGATATAGTATCAGATCGGGGAGCCCAGTTCACTTCAAGGTTCTGGAAGGCCTTGTGCGAAGCATTGGGAATCAAGTTGTCACTCTCGTCCACCTACCATCCCCAGACCAATGGGCAAACAGAGAGGACCAACCAAGTATTAGAGCAATACCTCCGATGCTACACGTCCTACCTACAGGACGACTGGTTGACGCTGTTACCGTCAGCGGAGTTTGCCTACAACAACTCGAACCACTCCGCTACGGGGCAATCCCCGTTCTTCACCAATTACGGTTACCATCCAACATTTCTTCCC